GGGCCACCCCCCCCCGACAGTCATGGGGGTGGGGCAGGCCAAGAGGTGGCAGCTGTCCCCCACAGCAGGAGTTGTGTGACCCCCACAGGGGGGACCTGGGCGGCTCTGTCACGCAAGGCTTTCCTCCTGCCGACTCTCTTCTTCCCACAGCCATGGCGTGCCCGGCTCACAGGGAGTACCAGGCCTGCGGTCCCATGGAAGAGCCCACCTGCCAGTCCAGGTATGCGGCTTGAGCACTGGCCAGGAGGGTGCTCCCGGCCCCGCCCACCGGCCTGGGGTCCCCAGCCCACCCACTGGCCACCCACGCGCTTCTTGTGCTTCCCCCCTCCAGTCCCATCGAGCAGGAGTCCCCGAGCCTGGTGGAAGGCTGCTTCTGTCCCGAAGGCACCATCAACTACGCCCCTGGCTTTGACGTTTGCGTGAAGACGTGTGGTACGCCCCCTCCTGCTTCCCCCCTGTGCACGGGCAGGCGGTGAGGCTGACCCTCGAGGCTGGCCCTCACTCACGGGCTGGGCGGCGAGGCTGGCCCTCGCTCACGGGCTGGGCGGCGAGGCTGGCCCTCGCTCACGGGCTGGGCGGCGAGGCTGGCCCTCGCTCACGGGCTGGGCAGTGAGGCTGACCCTCGAGGCTGGCCCTCGCTCACAGGCTGGGCAGCGAGGCTGGCCCTCGCTCCCCAGCTATGCTAACTGACTTTGTTTCCTCCCTTTCCTAGGTTGCATGGGACCCGACAATGTGCCCAGAGAGGTAGGCATTCTTTTTTTTTGGTTGTGGGTCTTGAACTCTGGGCCTGGGCGCTGTCCCTTAGCTCTTCAGCTCAAGGCAACTTCTGGTTTTCTGAGTGGTTCATTGGAAATGAGAGTCTCATGGACTTTCCTGCCCGGGCTGGCTTTGAACCTTGATCCTCAGATCTCAGCCTCCTGAGTAGCGAGTCATTCTTTATTGTAGTGGGGGAGAGGGGCGGTGTTCTACAAATCCTGAACTTTAGAGGGGTGGAGCAGAGTGGACATGAGCAGCGGTGAGCCTCAAGACTGACCAGTGAGTCATTTAAATTACGCTGTATTCATCTCTCTCCCCCACCATCCACCCATCATCTGACTATCCATCCTCTACCCAGCATTTATCAGTCTGTCAATACATTCAATATCTGCCTCTCATCCACCTGTTCACTCTGTGTGTATATGCATCTATCTTCCATCCATCAATTCATCAGTCTATTGATCCATCCATCCATCCATTCATCCACTATCTACCCATCACCTACCCATCCATCTACTCATCCATCCATTTACACACCTGGTTATTCATCTGTCCAGACAGTATCCATCCAGACATCATCCACCTATCTCCTTATGCATTTATCTCTCTAATCATCCATCCACCCATCTATAATCCACCCATCCATCATCTATCATCCATCCATCCTCCATCTATCCATCCATCCAGCTAGTCATCCATCTATCCATCTACCCATCTATCTATCCATCCATCCACCTACCCATCCATCCATCCATCCATCCATCTAACTACATATTCACCTGTGTACTCATCCATCCATCCATCCATCCACCCATTTATCTACATATCCATCCGTGTATCCATCCATCCACCCATCCACCTACACATTTACCCATGTACTCATCCATCCATCCACCCACCCGTCCACCTATATATTCACCCATGTACTCATCCATCCATCCATCCATCCATCCACCTATACATTCACCCATGTACTCATCCATCCATCCATCCATTCATCCATCCATCCACCTATACATACACCCATGTACTCATCCATCTATCCATCCACCCATCCACCTACCCATCCATTCATCATCCATTCATCATCCATCCATCCATCAATCCACCCATCCATCCATGTACCTGACCACCCACCTACCAGTCATATGGTGCTCTCTAAGCCTGAGATGACACCTTGGGCTACTGTAGCACTATCTTCTGTGTGTGGCTGATTCTTTAGCTGGATACTGTGGTTGCCATGTGCCAGGCTCATGTTGGCAGATGTGAGCCTGCGCAGTAGTGTGGTAGTGTGATCAGAATGAGCAGCTGCAGGTTCCAGAACCTGCTCCAGGAGCTTGGGGGGTTGGGGTGGGGAAACTGGGCCTTCCCAAGGGACCCTCACCTGCCGCACCCTTGAGCTCCATTGGCCCTGGCTAGCCATGGCTGTCCCGTGGTGCGCCCGGCCCGGCGCCTCCTCTCTGGGCTCAGCCTCCGCTCTCCCTGCAGTTTGGGGAGCACTTCACATTCGACTGCAAGGACTGCGTCTGCCTGGAGGGGGGGAGAGGCATTGTCTGCCAGCCCCGCGTGTGCAGCCAGAGCGGCCCCTCCCAGTGCACAGAGGATGGCACCTACCTGGTCACCGAGGTCAACCCGGCCGACACCTGCTGCAGCGTCTCCTCTTGCAGTAAGGCCGCTCGGGCCGCCCAGAGCCCTCCGGGGGCTCCCAGCATCGACCCCCACTGTGGGCTCAGGATGTGCCTGCTGAGAGGGGTGGGCTGAGGCTGGTCAGGCCAGGCGCCTGGACCCACAGACGTCTGGGCAGACACTGTGGTGGGGAGGGGAGCCATGACTGTGGGAGTCAGCACCCCAAACCTCCCCCCACCCCAGGGTGCAACACCAGTCTGTGCCGGGAGGAGCCCCCCGCTTGCCTGCTGGGCTTCGAGGTGAAGAGGAGGGTCGTACCTGGACGGTGCTGTCCAGTCTACTCCTGTGGTAAGCAGGGAGGGCAGGCAGGGCAGCGGGGGCGTGGGCTGCGGCCGGGGGCGTGGGCTGCGGCCGGGGGCGTGGGCTGCGGCCGGAGGCACCTCATCTGCAGGGCTGGTGGGCCCACTTGGCCCCGAACACCCCCCGGCTGTGGTCTGCCTCGCGATCCGTGGGGCCGCCGGCTGGTCTCAGGATGGCTTCTGATGACCTGTCCGGCTCTTTGTTCCCAAGTGCCCAAGGGAGTGTGTGTGCACCAGAACGCGGAGTACCAGGTGAGCCCTGGGCGGGGTCGCAGAGCTGGGGGACGGGGGGGGGGGAACGGAGGGCAGATGGCCAAGCCCTGGTCCCTGAGGACAGGGATGCGGTGCTGCATGGGGACCTGGGAAGGGCGTCCAGTGCCTGCCTGCCCGTGCCCACTCCTGCCCGTGCCCATAGCCTGGCTCTCCAGTGTACTCCTCCAAGTGTGAGGACTGCGTGTGCACCCACGCCGTGGACAACAGCACCCAGTTCAACGTCATCACCTGCACCCACGTGCCCTGCAACAGCTCCTGTAGCCCTGTAAGCCTCAGCCCCGCCCCGCCCTGCCTCAGTCTACCCTGTACGCCATGGCCCCTCCCTCCCCTTCTCTGTCTCACTCTACATGGCCCCCTCCCTTCCCCCCTCCCCACCTCATTCTACCCTCTTCCTGCACCTCGGTACCTTGGCACTTCCCAGACTGTGGCCTCCCCCAAATTGGGGGTTCTGGCAGCCCTCGGGGATGTGTGGGTGCGAGCCAAGCCCCAGAGCTCAGCCTGGCGTGCCTGTCCACAGGGCTTTGACCTCGTGGACGTCCCTGGCGAGTGCTGCAAGAAGTGCCAGCAGACGCAGTGTGTGGTGGAGAGGCCCAACGGCCAGTTCATCATCCTGGAGGTGCGCAGGGGTGGTGGCGCGGGGCCCAGGGCCCTGGGGCCTGCTGGAAGCGGGGGAGGCCTGGAGGATGGCCGTGCGCTGACCGAGCCCCGGGTCCTGGCGCAGCCGTCCCCAGGGTTCTGAGGCTGCCGTAGCCAATGGCCACAGCTGCGCGTCTGAAAACCAGAGGGAGAGTGGCTTCTCCCTCTTCTGGCAAAAGCTCCCCCTGTGTAACGCTTCGGGCCCGTCTGGGCCGGCCGGGCACACGCCCGCTGCTCGCCGTCACCCACCCTGCTCTTCCCGCAGCCCGGGGAAACGCAGGCAAACCTGGACGACAAGTGTACCTTCTTCAGCTGCACGAAAATCAACAACCAGCTCACCTCCTTCGTCTCCAAAATCATGTGCCCTGAGTTCGACAGCAGCAGCTGCGTCCCGGTGAGTGGGCCCCCAGGCACGGCTGCGTGTGCTGTGCCGGAACTGGGGGACCCTGGTCTGGGGGTGGCTCCCGGGTTGGGGACAGTGGCCTCTGGCCGCCGACACTCCTCAGGTCTCAGCTCCTTCTCCCTCCCTCCAGGGCTCCATCACATTCATGCCTAATGGGTGCTGTAAGACATGTGAGTATGGCTGGGCAGGGCTGGCCCGGAGGGCACAGGGACCCCCGGGGCAGTGGGAGGGAGACCCTGTCCTGTTGACGGGTCCCATGGCCTGAGCTGGCCAGGGAGCAGATGCGGCCAGAGCCCAGTGTGAGCCGGACACTTGCTTCGGCTGGAGGGCTGGCCGTGCTGCGGCGGGGGGTGGGGGGGAGGGAGGGTTGGCATCGGGAGCCCGTGTGAGACCACACCATGCCCCTCCCCCCAGGCATCCCCCGCAATGAGACCGCAGTTCCCTGCTCCACCATCCCGGTCACAAAGGAGATCTCCCAAGATGGCTGTGCCAAGAATGTCAGCATGAACTACTGCTCCGGGTCCTGTGGGACGTTTGCCATGTGAGTCCCAGCGTCGCGTGTGCCCGGGGGCGCGGTGGGGGAGCACCCGGGGGGGCGTGGTGGGGGGGCGCCCCGGGGGCGCGGTGGAGGCCGGCCCTCACCCCGCCCTTCCCGCCCAGGTACTCAGCCCACGTGCAGTCCCTGGACCACAAATGCTCTTGCTGTAAGGAGGACAGGACCAGCCAGCGCCAGGTGATCCTGGACTGCCCCGACGGCCGCTCGCTGGCGCACACCTACACGCACATCGAGAGCTGCCTGTGCCAGGACACCATCTGCGCGCTGCCCCAGCCCCGGCAGAGCCGGGCCCGGCGCTCCAGCCCTCAGCTGCTGGGAAGGAAATGAGCGGCCCCCGCCCCCGCCCCCTGCCTGGTCCCGCAGACCCCCCGAGCTTCTGAGATTCCCGAGCTTTGCCTTCTCGCCGCAGATATTTATTTTCTGACTCTTTGTTCCATCTTTTGCTTTCTGATAATAAACCCAGGCAGATGTTGTACGGTGCAGTCTGAGTTGGTGCACAGGGGTCTGAGTCGCCCCCCCTCCCCCAACCCAGTGTCCAGCCACCAGGCTTTGCATGCAGGCAATGGGAGCTGGTTTTGATGGATACTGAATGCAAAATGTGGCCTAGAAAGGCCTTCCCTTAGACTCCTAGCGGTCAGCAAGGCCCTCTGTGGGAGAGGCCCTCCTACCCTCACCCTGAACCCCACCGTCCCCCACACTAGCAATGCCCTCATCCAGCACCAGGGGTACCACAGGCGTACCACAGTGTATGTGTGCACATGTGAGTGCACAGGTGTGCACACCGTGCGTGTGAATACATGCCTATTCACACAGATTACACATGCCTCTGTGTGTGTGTGGCGTGTGCATGTGTGACGTGGGACTCAGGTTGCAGTGCTCCTGTGTGTTTGGTTGCTGAGCCTCTGCCTCCCCGTGGGCAGGGCGCCTGTGGTTTCCTCTATCAAGGCAGGGTACGGGGAGGGGCCGAGGACGCTTGTCATCATCCTCTGGGCCAGAGGGAGGCTGGCAGGTGTCCTCGGTGCCCAGTCCTCATCCCTGAGCTGGGTGGGTGCACTTGTACCTCAGAGAGGGTGAGCCCTGGGTCCCAGGTCCCCAGCGGCACGGTCGCGGGTGGAGATACCACCATTGAACAGCAGGGGGAGGCAGAGACACCCGCCAGGTCCCGCCAGTACCACAGGAGAGGAGAAAACCAGGACTTTTGGGGGGACATGTGAGGAGACGCTGGCTCAGCGAGAAGACAGACCACCTGTCCCCCACGTTAGCCCATTTTGACGTTGTCTTGGAGTGTAAGATGCACACGTGCGTGCACACACGTGCGGCAGCTTGGCTTTGGTGTGAGGGGCACGCTCACACAGCTGCACAGGGCCGTCCCACACTACCAGCAGGGGCAGACCGCCGACGGAGCTGGCCCCCACGCTGACCCCATGCTGACCCACGCTGACCACGCTGACCCACGCTGACCCCATGCTGACCACACACTGATGACACGCTGACCCACGCTGACCCCACGCTGACTACACTCTGGCCCCGCCCTGGCCCCACGCTGACCACACTGACCCCACACTGACCCATGCTGACCCCACGCTGACCACACTGACCCAACACTGACCCACGCTGACCCCACGCTGACCCCACGCTGACCACACTGACCACACACTGACCACACACTGATGACACACTGACCCCCACGCTGACCCCACGCTGACTACACTGACCCCACGCTGACCCCACGCTGACTACACTGACCCCACGCTGACCACACTGACTCCACGCTGACCACACTCTGGCCCCACACCCACCACACACTGACCACACACTGATGACACACTGACCCCACACTGACCCACGCTGACCCCACGCTGACCACACTGACCCCACACTGACCCATGCTGACCCCACGCTGACCACACTCTGGCCCCACGCCCACCACACACTGACCATACACTGATGACACACTGACCACACGCTGGCCCCCATGCTGACCACACTGGCCCCAACACTGACCCACGCTGACCCCACGCTGACCACACTCTGGCCCCACCATGGCCCCACGCTGACCACACTGACCACACCCTGACCCACGCTGACCCACATGCTGGCCCCACACTGACCCCACACTGACCACATGCTGGCCCCACACTGACCACATGCTGGCCCCATGCAGACTATGCTGACCACACGCTGACCCCACACTGACCACACGCTGACCCCACACTGACCACACGCTGGCCACATGATGACCACATGCTGAGAACACTGACCACACGCTGGTCCCACGCTGACCACTTTCTGGCCTTACGCTGACCACACACTGACCACACGCAGACCACACTGACCACATGCTGGACCTACACTGACCACACGCTGGCCCCACACTGACCACACACTGGTCCCATGCTGACTACACAGACCACATGCTGGCCACACGCTGACCACACACTGACCCCATGCTGGCCCCAGACTGACCCCACACTGACCCACATGATAGTCCCAGACTGATCACACACTGGTCCCAAGCTGGCCACACACTGCATGCTGGCCCCACGCTGACCACATGCAGAAAACACACTGGCCACACACTGACCCCACACTGGCCCCACACTGACCGCACGCTGGCCCCAGGCTGACCCCTTATGCTGACCATACACTGACCACATGCTGACCACAGATTGGCCCCATGCTAGCCAGACACTGAGCACATGCTGGCACGATGCTGGCCCCACGTTGGCCCCACACTGACCGCACGCTGGCCCCCATGCTGACCCCATGCTGACCACACACTGACGGCCCCCATGCTGGCCACACAGGAAGCACATGCTGGCACCATGCTGGCCTGACACTGGCCACATGATGGCACCACACTGACCACATGCTAACCCCACGCTGACCCAATACTGGTCCCACACTGACTACACACTGGCCTCATGCTGGTCCCACACTGACCAAAGTCCTGACACTGACCCCACGCTGACCCCACGCTGGCCCCACACTGACCACACAAAGTCCTGACACTGACCAAATGCTGAGCACACGCTGGCCCCACAATGACTCCGCAATGGCCCGACACTGGCTGCAAGCTGGCCCATTATGCCCTGTTGCAGTGGCCTTCACGGCAAAGAAGGGTTTCCACTTGTCTGAGAGCTTGGGAACTGTGGGATGCAGGAGGCAGGCGTGCAGCCACAGAAACCCTGCAGGGGCGGAGGACCAGGTGAGGACGTGCAGCTGAATGCCAGCCACAGACACGCAGGCGGCTCAGATGCAGCGGCCATGAGGATGCACAGGGCTCTGTGGTGCAGCTGTGATGAGCATGCGCAGTGCTCTAGTGCAGCTATGATGAGGATGCGCAGGGCTCTGTGGTGCAGCTGTGATGAGGATGCGCAGGGCTCTGTGGTGCAGCTGTGATGAGGATGCGCAGGGCTCTGTGGTGCAGCTGTGATGAGGATGCGCAGGGCTCTGTGGTGCAGCTGTGATGAGGATGAGCAGGACTCTGTGGTGCAGCTGTGATGAGGATGCGCAGGGCTCTGTGGAGCATCTGTGATGAGGATGCGCAGGGCTCTCTGGTACAGCTGTGATGAGGATGCGCAGGGCTCTGTGGTGCAGCTGTGATGAAGATGCGCAGGGCTCTGTGGTGCAGCTGTGATGAGGATGCGCAGGGCTCTCTGGTACAGCTGTGATGAGGATGCGCAGGGCTCTTTGATGCAGCTGTGATGAGGATGCGCAGGGCTCTGTGGTGCAGCTGTGATGAGGATGCGCAGGGCTCTGTGGTGCAGCTGTGATGAGGATGCGCTGGGCTCTGTGGTGCAGCTGTGATGAGGATGCGCAGGGCTCTGTGGTGCAGCTGTGATGAGGATGCGCAGGGCTCTGTGGTGCAGCTGTGATGAGGATGCGCAGGGCTCTGTGGTGCAGCTGTGATGAGGATGCGCAGGGCTCTGTGGTGCATCTGTGATGAGGATGCGCAGGCCTCTGTGGTGCATCTGTGGTGAGGATGCGCAGGGCTCTGTGGTGCAGCTGTGATGAGGATGCGCTGTGGTCAGCTGTGATGAGGATGCGCAGGGCTCTGTGGTGCAGCTGTGATGAGGATGCGCAGGGCTCTGTGGTGCAGCTGTGATGAGGATGCGCAGGGCTCTGTGGTGCAGCTGTGATGAGGATGCGCAGGGCTCTGTGGTGCAGCTGTGATGAGGATGCGCAGGGCTCTGTGGTGCAGCTATGATGAGGATGCGCAGGGCTCTGTGGTGCAGCTGTGATGAGGATGCGCAGGGCTCTAGTGTAGCTGTGATGAGGATGCGCAGGGCTCTGTGGTGCAGCTGTGATGAGGATGCGCAGGGCTCTGTGGTACAGCTGTGATGAGGATGCGCAGGGCTCTATGATGCAGCTGTGATGAGGATGCGCAGGGCTCTAGTGCAGCTGTGATGAGGATGCACAGGGCTCTGGTGCAGCTGTGATGAGGATGCGCAGGGCTCTAGTGCAGCTGTGATGAGGATGCGCAGGGCTCTGTGGTGCAGCTGTGATGACGATGCGCAGGGCTCTGTGGTGCAGCTGTGATGAGCATGCGCAGGGTTCTGTGCTGCAGCTGTGATGAGCATGCGCAGGGCTCTATGATGCAGCTGTGGTGAGGATAGGCAGGCCTCTGTGATGCAGCTGTGTTGAGTATGTGCTGGGCTCTGTCGTGCAGCTGTGATGAGCATGCGCAGGGCTCTGTGGTGCAGCTGTGATGAGCATGCGCAGGGCTCTGTGGTGCAGCTGTGATGACGATGCGCAGGGCTCTGTGATGCAGCTGTGATGAGGATGCGCAGGGCTCTGTGATGCAGCTGTGATGAGGATGCGCAGGGCTCTGTGGTGCAGCTGTGGTGAGGATGCGCAGGGCTCTGTGGTGCAACTGTGATGAGGATGCGCAGGGCTCTGTGGTGCAGCTGTGATGAGGATGCGCAGGGCTCTGTGGTGCAGCTGTGATGAGGATGCGCAGGGCTCTGTAGCTGTGATGAGGATGCGCAGGGCTCTATGATGCAGCTGTGATGAGGATGCGCAGGGCTCTGTGGTGCAGCTGTGATGAGGATGCGCAGGGCTCTGTGGTGCAGCTGTGATGAGGATGCGCAGGGCTCTAGTGTAGCTGTGATGAGGATGCGCAGGGCTCTGTGGTGCAGCTGTGATGAGGATGCGCAGGGCTCTGTGGTGCAGCTGTGATGAGGATGCGCAGGGCTCTAGTGCAGCTGTGATGAGGATGCGCAGGGCTCTGTGGTGCATCTGTGGTGAGGATGCGCAGGGCTCTGTGATGCAGCTGTGATGAGGATGCGCAGGGCTCTGTGGTGCATCTCTGATGAGGATGCGCAGGGCTCTGTGGTGCAGCTGTGATGAGGATGCGCAGGGCTCTGTGGTGCAGCTGTGATGAGGATGCGCAGGGCTCTGTGGTGCAGCTGTGATGAGGATGCGCAGGGCTCTGTGGTGCAGCTGTGATGAGGATGTGCAGGGCTCTGTGGTGCAGCTGTGATGAGGATGCGCAGGGCTCTGTGATGCAGCTGTGATGAGGATGTGCAGGGCTCTGTGGTGCAGCTGTGATGTGGATGCGCAGGGCTCTAGTGCAGCTGTGATGAGGATGCGCAAGTCTCTAGTGCAGCTGTGATGAGCATGCGCAGGGCTCTGGTGCAGCTGTGATGAGGATGCGCAGGGCTCTGGTGCAGCTGTGATGAGGATGCGCAGGGCTCAGTGCTGCAGCTGTGCTGAGCATGCGCAGGGCTCTAGTGCAGCTGTGATGAGGATGCGCAGGGCTCTGTGCTGCAGCTGTGATGAGGATGCACAAGGATGTGTGATGCAGCTCTCATGAGGATGCGCAGGGCTCTATGATGCAGCTGTGATGAGCATGCGCAGGGCTCTGTGCTGCAGCTGTGATGAGGATGCCCAGGGCTCTAGTGCAGCTGTGATGAGGATGCGCAGGACTCTGTGGTGCAGCTGTGATGAGGATGCGCAGGGCTCTGTGGTGCAGCTGTGATGAGGACGCGCAGGGCTCTGTGGTGCAGCTGTGATGAGGACGCGCAGGGCTCTGTGGTGCAGCTGTGATGAGGATGCTCAGGACTCTGTGATGCAGCTGTGATGAGGATGCGCAGGGCTCTGTGGTGCAGCTGTGATGAGGATGCGCAGGGCTCTGTGGTGCAGCTGTGATGAGGATGCGCAGGGCTCTAGTGCAGCTGTGATGAGGATGCGCAGGGCTCTGGTGCAGCTGTGATGAGGATGCGCAGGGCTCTGTGGTGCAGCTGTGATGAGGATGCGCAGGGCTCTGTGGTGCAGCTGTGATGAGGATGCGCAGGGCTTGAGGATGCGCAGGGCTCTGTGGTGCAGCTGTGATGAGGATGCGCAGGGCTCTGTGGTGCAGCTGTGATGAGGATGCGCAGGGCTCTGTGGGCAGCTGTGATGAGGATGCGCAGGGCTCTGATGCGCAGGGCTCTGTGGTGCAGCTGTGATGAGGATGCGCAGGGCTCTGTGCTGCAGCTGTGATGAGGATGCGCAGGGGCTCTGTGCTGCAGCTGTGATGAGGATGCGCAGGGCTCTGTGGTGCAGCTGTGATGAGGATGCGCAGGGCTCTGTGGTGCAGCTGTGATGAGGATGCGCAGGGCTCCAGTGTAGCTGTGATGAGGATGCGCAGAGCTCTGTGGTGCAGCTGTGATGAGGATGCGCAGGGCTCTGGTGCAGCTGTGATGAGGATGCGCAGGGCTCTGTGGTGCCGCGATGATGAGGATGCGCAGGGCTCTGTGGTGCAGCTGTGATGAGGATGCGCAGGACTCTGTGGTGCAGCTGTGATGAGGATGCGCAGGGCTCTGTGGTGCAGCTGTGATGAGGATGCGCAGGGCTCTGTGATGCAGCTGTGATGAGGATGTGCAGGGGTCTGTGTTGCAGCTGTGATGAGGATGCGCAGGGCTCTGTGGTGCAGCTGTGATGAGGATGCGCAGGGCTCTGTGGTGCAGCTGTGATGAGGATGCGCAGGGCTCTAGTGCAGCTGTGATGAGGATGCACAGGGCTCTAGTGCAGCTGTGATGAGGATGCGCCGGGCTCTTTGGTGCAGCTGTGATGAGGATGCGCAGGCCTCTAGTGCAGCTGTGATGAGGATGCACAGGGCTCTGTGGTGCAGCTGTGATGAGGATGCGCAGGGCTCTAGTGCAGCTGTGATGAGGATGCGCAGGGCTCTGTGATGCAGCTGTGATGAGGATGCACAGGACTCTGTGGTGCAGCTGTGATGAGGATGCGCAGGGCTCTGTGATGCAGCTGTGATGAGGATGCGCAGGGCTCTGTGGTGCAGCTGTGATGAGGATGCGCAGGGCTCTGTGGTGCAGCTGTGATGAGGATGCGCAGGGCTCTGTGGTGCAGCTGTGATGAGGATGCACAGGGCTCTGTGATGCAGTTGTGATGAGGATGCGCAGGCCTCTGTGGGGCAGCTGTGATGAGGATGCGCTGGGCTCTGTGGTGCAGCTGTGATGAGGATGCGCTGGGCTCTGTGGTGCAGCTGTGATGAGGATGCGCAGGGCTCTGTGGTGCAGCTGTGATGAGGATGCGCAGGGCTCTGTGGTGCAGCTGTGATGAGGATGCGCAGGGCTCTGTGGTGCAGCTGTGATGAGGATGCGCAGGGCTCTGTGGTGCATCTGTGATGAGGATGCGCAGGCCTCTGTGGTGCATCTGTGGTGAGGATGCGCAGGGCTCTGTGGTGCAGCTGTGATGAGGATGCGCTGTGGTCAGCTGTGATGAGGATGCGCAGGGCTCTGTGGTGCAGCTGTGATGAGGATGCGCAGGGCTCTGTGGTGCAGCTGTGATGAGGATGCGCAGGGCTCTGTGGTGCAGCTGTGATGAGGATGCGCAGGGCTCTGTGGTGCAGCTGTGATGAGGATGCGCAGGGCTCTGTGGTGCAGCTATGATGAGGATGCGCAGGGCTCTGTGGTGCAGCTGTGATGAGGATGCGCAGGGCTCTAGTGTAGCTGTGATGAGGATGCGCAGGGCTCTGTGGTGCAGCTGTGATGAGGATGCGCAGGGCTCTGGTGCAGCTGTGATGAGGATGCGCAGGGCTCTATGATGCAGCTGTGATGAGGATGCGCAGGGCTCTAGTGCAGCTGATGCGCAGGGCTCTAGTGCAGCTGTGATGAGGATGCGCAGGGCTCTGTGGTGCAGCTGTGGTGAGGATGCGCAGGGCTCTGCGGTGCAGCTGTGATGAGGATGCGCAGGACTCTGCGGTGCAGCTGTGATGAGGATGCGCAGGGCTCTGTGATGCAGCTGTGATGAGGATGCGCCCGTCTCTGTGGGGCAGCTGTGATGAGGATGCGCAGGGCTCTGTGGTGCAGCTGTGATGCAGATGCTCAGGGCTCTGTGGTGCAGCTGTGATGAGCATGCGCAGGCCTCTGTGATGCAGCTGTGATGAGGATGCGCAAGGCTCTTGTGCAGCTTGTGTTCCTTCCTCCTTGATAATGTTTATTGTTCCTCAGTGGTGGTGGATGGAACTGTGAATTTCAGTGTACACCCTTTCTTCATGAAAATGAAGGACCCAACCTTTCTATTCCTGGACCCGGTGCTGTGATACATTTTATCTGCGTCCCTCCTGCCAGGGCATGGCCTTGTGGGTTTTCTCGGAAAGCTGAGTGGCCCCCGTGGAAGTTCCGGCAGTGTCCGTGAGGATTTCCTGTTGTCTGCCCATCACCCACGAGGATCTCTTCTGTCTCTGCCTCGATGTCTGCTTCTCTCAGTTCTCTGCCTCACACTCTGTATCTCCAGCTCTCTCTGGCCTCTGCTCGTGTGTTCCCCTTACTGTCTCTGAGTCTGACTCATTCCTGGAGTCTGACTTGCCTGGTGAGCAGGACCCTCCTCTTCCCAAGTTTGAAATATGCTTTCAGAGGCTGAGAGGGAGATTGGGAGGGAGGTATGGGAGGGAGCTGTGAAAGGTGAGGTGCCCAGGTGTGGGCCCCAGGGACTCTGAGCGGTCTCCCTGAGTGGATGCAGCGTTCAGTGGCACATACAGCAGACCCGTGTGGGCTCTGGAGAGCTAAGATCTGGAGCTGGGCCCGCAGACCTCCAAGGTTCCCAGGTAGGAACTCCCTCTCCCTCCCCCCTTCCCCTTCCCTTTCCCCTCCCTTCCCCTTCCCTTCCCCCCCTCCTCTGCTTCCCATGCCATGCTGGGTGCTGGCTGTTGACAGCGTCATTAGTTACAGCTTAATTCAAACCCTACAAATCTTATAACTAAACACCATATTTGGACCAGCCCTGTGTGCACACATGGTGCATCCGTGTGGCTTTGTCCCATAGATTGTGTGGGGGGAGGGGAGGGTGGTAGGGAGCAGGGGAGTCCCTCGCCCAGCTTTCTGGCACTTTCCTTCTAAACCACACACAGATACCATCTGGCTCTGAGGGACTTTTCTAAGCAGAAAATGATGCTTGAGGTGGTGATTCACAGGATGTCAAGGGGGCCACAAGAGGAAGTAAGTCAGGGCCATAGGGACACACACGCCAGGGCCACAGGCTCCAGAGCCACAGGTTCCAGGACCACAATCTAGAGCCACAGGTTCCAGAGCCACAGGTTCCAGGGCCACACACTCAAGATCCACAAACTCCAGGAACACACACTCCAGAACCACACACTCCAGGAACACACACTCCAGAACCACACACTCCAGGAACACACACTCCAGAACCACACACTCCAGGAACACACACTCCAGGAACACACACTCCAGAACCACACACTCCAGGAACACACACTCCAGGGCCACAAACTCCAGGACCACACACTCCAGGACCACACACTCCAGGACCACAGGGCCACACACTCCAGGACCACACACTCCAGAACCACACACTCCAGGAACACACACTCCAGGGCCACACACTCCAGGAACACACACTCCAGGACCACACACTCCAGGACCACACACTCCAGGGCCACAGGGCTACACACTCCAGGAACACACACTCCAGGACCTCACACTCCAGGACCACACACTGCAGGGCCACAGGACCACACACTTCAGGACCACACACTCCAGGACCACACACTCCAGGACCACACACTCCAGGACCACACACTCCAGGGTCATACACTCCAGGAACACACACTCCAGGACCACACACTCCAGGACCACACACTCCAGGACCACACACTCCAGGGCCACACACTCCAGGACCACACACTCCAGGACCACAGGACCACACACTCCAGGGTCACAGGACCACACACTCCAGGACCACAGGACCACACACTCCAGAGTCACAGGACCACACACTCCAGGACCACAAGCTCCAGGACTACACATCCAAGGGCCACAGGACCACACGCTCCAGGACCACATGCTCGAGGGCCATGGAGATGGCTTAGGATGGCTGTGGCTGGAGGCTCCCTTCCTCCTGGGCCTCAGCTGGCATTGCTAAGTGACAAGGACTCTCCTTCCTCCTACACGGGCTCAGGAGCAGCCTGCAAACTCCCCACAGTACCACCGGCAGCCTGGCGCCCTGGTGGGGCATGGGAGCCCTTGCGGTGCTGGAATCCTGGCCATGCCGCAGGCCTCAGGCTGCTGCCCGTAGAAGAGTGGAGAGCCAGGGCCCCAGAGCCAGTGCGGTGTTGCTTCTGATCATGTCCATTAGAGTGGGCTGTCTTTATCCTTGGTATCTCCCAATGTTTCCTCCTATTCAAAAAGGAAAGAGATGACCCAGCAAAGCTGCAGAGACAGCTGGCCTACCATGGGAGGCCGGGTCTGGGCCTTGCTCTCAGCCGGGTCTGTGCTTCATCTGGGGGCCCGACTGCCCTGCCCAGTGCTTGTTCCCAGGCCCCCAGGGAGAGATAAAGCAAGGATTTGTTTTCTCAGGGAGGAGGGTGGCAGGAGAAGCTATTTTCCTTCTGTCTTCTGCTGGCACTAGGACCCAGGTCTGTGAACCCCAAGGGGCTGTGGTCCATGACTCACACTTCCCCAGAGAACCTGGGGCTGCCCCATCTCAGCGAGGAGTGAGCTCGGATTGGCCTCAAAGACAGCCCGGGCCTCCCCGATCCTGGGGCAGGCTGCGAGCGCCCCGCGGGGAAGCAGTTCCCAGGAGCCCACGGGTCCTCCAGTGGTGGCTCAGGGTCTGTGTTGGGTTGTTCTCGGGTCTTCTCTGCCCCGGGCAGTCTGTAGGTAGATCAGCACGCTCTGTCCACAATACCATACCAGCACGTTAGGGTAGATAGGCCGTGGCACAAGGTCAGAGCTCAATAAATATTTGCTGGGTAAGAGAAGGCACGAATGGTTCCAACCCACAGCCCACTGGATGTGTACACGTCGCAGCCCAGTAGAAAGCTCCAGTTACTTTGCTCTGGTGGCTTGAGGTCAAGCTCCCGACATGATGGCGGCCTGGGCCGGAGTGAGCATCGCATGAGCAGCGGGTGCAGGGCCCTGAGCCCCTCTGGCGCCCCCTCGCTCTCTCTCTTGCTCTTTTGCTCTCTCTCTCACTCTCTCTCGCTCTCTTGCTCTCTCTCTCTCACTCTCTCACGCTCTCTCGCTCCCTCTCTCTCTCGCTCGCTCTCTCTCACTCGCTCTCTCTCTCGCTCTCTCACTCTCTCTCTCGCTCTCGCTCTCTCTCTCTCACTCTCTCGCTCTCTCACTCTCTCTCGCTCTCTCACTCTCTGTCTCTCGCTCTCTCTCTCGCTCTCTCTCTTGCTCTCTCGCTCTCACTCTCACTCTCTCACTCTCTCTCGCTCGCTCTCTCACTTGCTCTCTCTTGCTCTCTCTCTTTCGCTCTCTCATTCTCTCTCGCGCTCTCTCTCTCTCACTCTCTCTCGCTCTCTCACTCTCTCTCTCTGTCTCTCGCTCTCTCACTCTCTCTCGCTCTCTCTCTCTCTCTCACTCTCTCTCTCTCTCTCTCTCTCTCGCTTTCTCTCTCTCTCATATCAGTAGCAGGGTTTGAACTCAGGGCCCTGCATATCACGTGGCCTTTTTCACTCAACTCTGGCACTCTACCACTTGAGCCACACCTCCACTCCCAGCACTATTTTGTTAATTGGAACTAAGAGTCTCACAGACTTTTCTTCTCTGACTGGCTTTGAACTCGACCCTCAGATCTCAGCTTCCTGCACAGCTAGGATGACAGGCGTGGGCCGCCGGTGCGCTGCTGCCTCTCACTCTTGTCTTTTCCCATCACTCATGTATTGGTTCCCTCCTCACTATGCTTCAACATCCTCTTGCTCAGGCCCTCCATAACTGGGCCACAGAGACTCTGGTCCTGGATGGCCAGAATCACTGAAGCCCAAATCCAGCCCCAGTCCCTCTGTGGGACATAGGACAGAGTTCTGTGGACGAGCGTGTGAAGATCACGCAGAAACGTAATGACACTGAGTGCACAGTTAATAACGGATCCCGAGTTCTTGTGGCAGCTCTCCTGCTCGGTGTGTGCGAGCATGTTAAGAAATGTGAGGATAGGAGCGCCTTTGCATCTTTAGTGCTTGGCTCCGGGCTTCACGCACATTCATGGTGTTGTGAAATCATTCACCCCCACTGCCATCTCTAGAATTTTATCATCTTCCCGATCGGTCTGCCTGGCATAATTGGAGCCAGGGCCCCCTGGTATCACAGAGCTGCCCAAGCTCTCAGGGACTGGCTTTCAGGCACGTTCACAAGGCCTCTGCTCTGCAGAGGACCAGTCTGGTGTTGAGGGTCTTTGGCCAGCTGGGTCTTCATGTCCTATCCAGCAGAGAAGCTCATGGTCATTGTGAACACGGCATTGTCTGTCTGTGAACCCCGGACATGGTTCCTCAGTTGCTGTCAGCCTTTGATCCACCAGCTCTATCCACACGGCTCCTGCACCTCGCAGCCGGGACTTGTCTTACAACCCTGCGTTGCCTGTGGCCAGCTGGAGGCTTCTGGATTGGGACAGGATTCCTATAAGCTGGGAGCCCTGGGATCCTCCCCTCTCCCCCCTGCCTGTCCATGGGAGGGAAGCAGGGACAGTTTGGGGTGGTCCAGAGCACTGTTACCAGGAAGCAGTTAAGCAGGGTCTGGATGCAGGCTGCCCATGCCCAGCTGCCCTTGGGGACACCTGACCCAGGGACAGAGGACACAGCGGCCGAGGGCAGAGGGCCCTCCCCTGTGTCTAGCGGGGATCTGAGGCCTGGATGAATCCTTTGGGAGCCCAGTGTGGGGTGTGTGGGCCTGAGCATCCACCAGTATCAGGATGCCTGGCTGCCCCGGGGCCGTGGGTTGTCTGAAAGCGCCCCCCCCACCTTGGTGAGATCCCCGAGGACAAGGACTCATCGCATCCCCAGAGGAAGCCATGAATTCTGTCCCACCCCAGCGGAAGGCTGTGGAGCACCGCCAGCACCGTCAGAGCAGCCTGGGCCCTGGGGCCATCCGCTCCAGCCGACTACACCCAGTGGGGCGGTGTGGGGATGGCCAGGCACTGTCAGGTGGGCAGACCGGCGTCCTTGCCTGATAGGCAAGCTACAGCTGTTCACCTGGCATTCATGCATGCATTCATTCATTCATTCACACTCCTCCCCGCTCACTGGCCATTCATATTCATTCATTCCAACCTTCCTAGGCCTTCAGTTCATCTGTCCTGCGTGCATTTCCTGGGGCTGCTGTCACGGAGGACCCCAAACCTGGGCCTAAACACATCTAGAAGCGTATCTCCTCAAGCCGGGGGCCTCGGTGGGGAAGACCCCTGCCCTTCCCTGTTTTGTCAGCCTCTGGGAGCTGTTCTGGCTTCCCTCAAATCTCTCTCTGCCCGTCTCTTAAGGACTTGCGCAGGGTCCTGGGGCCCAGCTGGGTGACCGAGGACGCCTCATCTGGGGCTGCAGAGCTCTCTTCCCAGCACTGGCCCCGGGTCCCGGGGCTGCCATGGGGCTTACCTTTCAGGGGCGGCTTCCACCCAACCCTTTGTTCCTTCCGTCTAGACCTAGCTGTGCTGTGCACTCGGGGTTGGCCGCCGGCCACCGGTCAGCAGCCCCGTGGGGTGGCCTGGTCTGTTCTGTGGCCATCCCCAGAGAGGGGTCCTGTGTGAGCCCCCGAAGGAGGGGAGAAGGACAGAGTGTGTGGAGGGTGAGGGTCATCACCCCCCTGCCCATCTCCAGGAGCCCGTGCGCATTGGTGAGGGCCGCCCCTCCGCAGCCTGGGCAGCGAGAGGCTGGGCTGCCGGGCCCAGGCCACCAGAGCCTTCCAGTTCTGCCCACCAGAGGCAGGGAGGGGCGGCGGAGCTGCAGCGTTGGCCCCTGAGCCGAGTGTGCTGGGGCTCCTGCTTGGCCCCCCAGGGACGCCCCTCATACCCACCCTGGGCCAGTGACCTGTGTGGCCAGTGCTTGACCCCAGCCCAACGTGCTGTGGCCAGAGAGGTGATGCTCCCCAAGGAGCCCGTGGTGCACGCTCCTCCCCCTCCTCCCCCCG